GAAAGAGAAACAGAGACAGTGAGAGGGTAAGTGAGAAATCACTCCCCAGGAGGATGCCCACACTGCAATCCCTTCTCGGTTCTCCTGCTAGGATCTTAGGCACACATGCACACATGCCTGGCATGATTTTCAAGCCATGGGGTCTGGGACGTGAACTACTGTCGGCCATGTGGGAGTCCAGGAATATAACCACTCTGCCATCTGCTGGCCCCCCAAATGATGCTTTTAAAACTTAACCAAGGGACCGGGACCAGCAGATGCCAAGGTGCTTAAGTGGCTGGGTCCCACGTGGCTGATGGTGCAGATCAAGTGCAGGTCGAGCAGCTTGAAAACACTGCAGGTGCACGTACGTACACGCCCACAGTCCTGAGAGGAGAAGGGACTGCGCTGTGGCTGTCACCTCGAGGGGTGCTTTCTTACCACCATGCCCAGTCCATCTCTCTGGCAAGCTCACACGCCCTATAGCAAACTTAAAAAAAGTAAAAAGAAGGGAACCAGCAGTTAGCGTACTGGCTATGTCACTGGATTCCCACGTAGTCGACTGCGGTTCGCGTCCCGGACCCGGTGGCTTAGAACTCACGCCGGGCGCGTGTGCGTGTGTGCCCAAGATCCCGAGAGGAGAATGGAGGAGAAGGGATTGCGGCGTGACCATCCCCCCTGGGGGGTGATTTCTCGCTTTCTGTCTGTCTGGCGAGCGCACGCGCCCTATAGCGAAAACCTCTCAAAAAAAAAAAAAAAGTAAAAAGAAGAAAAAATCTAGGTGTGCCACGGCTCAGCCAGGTGACAGGGTAAATAACGTAGCCTTTGGTTCAACAAAGCGCTTTGTGCTCCGACTCCTCTGTCCAACCACAGCCTCTCCAGCTCTGCTGGGACAGCGGTGGGGAACAGGCAGGGAAGGACTGGGTGACCTCCACCAGAGACAGGGAAAACGGGGCAGAGAGGCACACCTGCTTGTCCCACTTGCCAGTCAGAAGTGGAGCATCTCGGGGCCAGCAGGTGGTGTAGAGGTTAGGACACTGGATTCCCACAATGCCCAACTGCAGTTTGAGTCCCAGACCAGGTGCTTTGAAACTCACACGAGGCAAGTGTGCGTGAGTGCCCACAACCCTGAGAGGAGAATGGAGAAGGGACTGCGGCGTGGCCACCCCCTGGGGGGTTAGTTTCTCACTTTCCCCCTCTCTCTGTTTCCGGTGAGCGTAGGTGCCCTATGGCAAAAATCTGTCTTGGAAAAAGAAGAAGCGGGAGCACCTCTGAGATTCAAGCCAAGCAGGCTGGTCTAGAGCCCCGAGCTTCTCCAGCCTGTCCTGCACCATGGTCACCTGGCTCCGGGTGCACGCCTCGGACCCTTGACACCGGCATGGGTGTCTGCACACGCCAGGCAGGATGCAGAATCCGTGATACACGAGATGAGGCCGGCCTGGGAGAGGTACCTGTAGGTGTTTACTCACCGCTGGCCGGTTTCCACATCTGGAGAGCGGGTGCTCGATCCCTCCTCACTATAAAACCATTAATTCAAGGAGGACAGAACTCTGTGAGGGACGTCAGAAATGTACCCACAGGGACCAGCAGTTAGCATAATGGCTATGTCGCTGGACTCCCACGTAGTCGACCGTGGTTCGAGTCCTGGACCCAGTGGCTTAAAGCTCACGCCGGGCGTGTGTGCGTGCGTGCCCAAGATCCAGAGAGGAGAATGGAGGAGAAAGGATTGCGGTGTGGCCATCCCCCCGGGGGGTGATTTCTCGCTTTCTGTGTCTCTGTCTCTCTCTGGCGAGCACATGCGCCCTATAGCAAAAACCTCTCAAAAAAAAAAAAAAAAGAAGTGTAACCACATATTTATAGAAACGAGAACCCCAATGGCAAGGAGGCTCTGGATCAGCGGGGCATGGACGGAGACCGTGTACAGGTGTCAAGGGGCGACTGTGGCAGAAGAGGGTGGGAGCCGAGGGTAAGGCGCTGAAAGCAGAGAAAGCCTGGTAGAGTGGCGAATGATGCGCTGTCTTAGTTTTCAGGCGACAGTGTAAGTCCTGCCAGTGCACAGTAGGGCTCCTGGAAAGCTACCGCTCTACGGGCAGTTCGGAGCCCCCCAGTGTGACCCACGAGGAAGGGAAGGACAGGAAGGACCAGGGTGGCGAGAAGACGGCGCCCTGGAGAATGGCCCGCACCGTGCTTTTGGAGAATCTCCCGGAGGTCTGGCTTGGGAGTGGCCTCCGGCGTGCTGTTCCCAGCAGCCACTTCAGGGTCCTCTTCGGCCACAGACGAGCCCACGGAGAGAACCTGCGGCGTGGCCTCCAGCGCCCGGGCATCCGGCTTCAGGAAGGTGGCGGGGCCGTTGATGCCTGAGGCCCAAAGAAATGACAAGCAGGAGGCTGTTACCCAGCACTTTTTTATAAAAGGTTTTTGCTACAGGGCCTGCTCACGCTCACCGGAGACAGAGAGGAAGAAAGTGAGAAACCACCCCTCTGGGGAGATGGCCACTCCACGGGTCGGTTGAGCACAGGGTCAGATTTTAACACAACTGCTCCTGAATCGACCACCAACTTCTACTCAACAACTCCAAGTGTGACCGTGAGGACTCAGGTGGGCACCTAGTAATAATGAGAATACGGTCCCTTTGGTCCCCCGACTCCTCCTGCCTTCTCCAAGGCTTGTGACAACTGTGCCCCAGTAGGAAGCAGCCCTGCTAGTACGCACCGTGCAGGGGGGCGTCGTTCTGAGGGGCGTGCGCTTCCACCAGAGGTGTGTACTCCTCACTGCCTTTCGGCTTGGACCGACGCAGCCTGGCTTCTGGATTGGGCTGTACCATGAGCGGCTCGAGGCGCTTTTTCCGCTGCTTCTTCTCCAGCAGGGCTCTCTAGGAGAGAGTGTGATACTGGGTCGGCAGGTGGCGTGGTGGTTAGGGGCACTGGACTCCCACGTGGCCGACAGTAGTTCGAGTCTTGGACCTGGCGGCTGGCTTTCTCTCTCTCTCCTGCTCACTACCTCTGTTTCTCTCTGGTCAAATTACATAAAATGAAATAATGATTAAAAAAATAAGTATGATATTATAGCCAGGAGAGTGAGGACAAGACCTAGTCACTAAAAACACACATGCTATGCTTTTCACTGATCCTCCTCACAAAACTGCTTGAGGGCTTTTAACAAATACCGAACACTTAACAAAGATTTATTTAAAAACACACAATGCTGCTGCTTTTTTTTTTTTTTTTTTTTGTTTTTTTTTTTTTTAATTTGCTAAGAGGTGCACGTGCCTGAGAGAGGCAGAGAAAGGGGGAAAGTGAGAAATCGTCCCCCAAGGAGGATGGCCATGCCAAAACCCCTTCTCCTTCATTCTCCTTCCAGGATTTTGGGCATGCACACACATGTGCCTGGCATATATATTTTTTTCTTTTTTGGAGAGGTTTTTGCTATAGGGCGTGCACGCGCCAGACAGACAGAGACAGAGAGACAGAAAGCGAGAAATCACCCCCGGGGGGATGGCCATGCCGCAATCCCTTCTCCTCCATTCTCCTCTCGGGATCTTGGGCACGCACGCACACGCGCCCAGCGTGAGTTGAAGCCACCAGGTCCGGGACTTGAACTGCAGTGGACTACATGGGAGCCCAGCGACATAGCCATTACGCCAACTGCTGGTCCCATTCTATACAATGAACTAAGCCAAGCTGAGGCCGCGATTCAAGTCTATGGAGAGTCCGTACAGCAATGATCACATTATTGTCAAAGTGCGGCCAGGAGTGCAAGCTACAGAAACGTAAGTGTGAGCGAGCAGGTGGAAGTGCACATCAGCAGTGACTTCTCTGGATGGTAGAAATTGTAAACAAAAACAAAAAACAGTTCTATTAGTCTTTAAATCCAAATTCTTTTCTTTCCTTTAAGGTTTTTGCCATAGAGTGTGTGCACTCACTGGAGAGAGATAAAAGGGGGAAAGTGAGAAATCACCCCCGTGGGGATGGGCACGCCACAATCCCTTCTCCTCAGGATTTTGGACACACATGCACATGCCCAGCAGGATTTTCAGGCCTCCAGGTCCAGAGCTCGAAACAGGCTGGCCATGTGGGAGTCTAGCCCCTTAATCACGACACCACTTGCTGGCCCCAGTCCCAAATTATTTTCCTTTTTTTTTGGAGAGGTTTTCGCTATAGGGCGCATGCACTCTCCAGACAGACAGAGAGAGACAGAGAGACAGAAAGCGAGAAATCACCCCCCAGGGAGGATGGTCATGCCACAATCCCTTCTCCTCCATTCTCCTCTCGGGATCTTGGGCATGCACGCACACGCGCCCGGCATGAGTTTTAAGCCACCGGGTCCGGGACGCGAACCGTGGTCGACTACGTGGGAGTCCAGCAACATAGCCATTACGCTAACTGCTGGTTCCCACTCTTTTCATGTTTTAATCAGACTAAGGGCAGAAGTTTGCTTCTGTGCTCATCTCACATACTTAGAAATCAAACACAGAGGCCAAGAGTGAGAGGAAAACTACGGCAGGCAGGATGCTCCAAACGGACAGCAACCAACTCTAGACTGGCCCTGCAGCCTGGCGGGTGAGGGACCCAGCCCCACATGGCCAAGAGGGCCTGGCCCATACGTGTGCGAGTGTGTGCATGTGCTCGGATCCTGACAAGGTGGGGAAAGGGAGGGAAAGGGCACGTGTCGCTGCAGTGGCCCGTGAGGGAGGGCTTTCTCCTCTCTGTCTGTCTCTCCGTCTCTCTGGTGAGCATGTGGGTCACCTGGCAACTACACAGGGGAAGAGAAGAGAGAAACACAAGTGGGACAGGAAGAAGGGCGCCAGCACACACGACATTTAAACTCTGGCAAGTAAGAGCTTCTAACACATTAAAATTATTAAGGGCCATCCAAGAACCCATAATGATTTGTTACAATAATTTATACAACTTTTTTTTTTTGGAGAGGTTTTTCACTATAGGGCGCATGCGCTCGCCAGAAAGACAGAGACAGAGAGA